AAGTGTATAAGTGTATAAGTGTATAAGTGTATAAGTGTATAAGTGTATAAGTGTATAAGTGTATAAGTGTATAAGTGTATAAAGTGTATAAGTGTATAAGTGTATAAGTGTATAAGTGTATAAGTGTATAAGTGTATAAGTGTATAAGTGTATAAGTGTATAAGTGTATAAGTGTATAAGTGTATAAGTGTATAAGTGTATAAGTGTATAAGTGTATAAGTGTATAAGTGTATAAGTGTATAAGTGTATAAGTGTATAAGTGTATAAGTGTATAAGTGTATAAGTGTATAAGTGTATAAGTGTATAAGTGTATAAGTGTATAAGTGTATAAGTGTATAAGTGTATAAGTGTATAACAAAACCGAATTTTATTCAAACAAAAGTGAAAAACAAGGCAAAATTAATAAACAAAAAAAAGGGTAAAATTCTACAAGCTAAACAAAAGGAAAACAAACAATTAACATTTGGTCCTCGCGAGCCCGATTGTGCAAGAACTATTAAAATATTTTCAACAAAAATTGTACCAGTGACAACAAACATAAAAAGACATACTTAATAAAGAAAGATCTACCAATAAACAAAGTGGAAATTAATTGCAATAAAAAGTGAATACTGTGACCTTAAAATACCTGCCAAAAATTGTGCTATGACATAAGTTTAACTTTCAACAAAAAATATGTACCGCTATTTTTAACGGGATATATTTTCTCAAAGTTAAACTTTGAACAACATCAACGTTTAAGTGTTTTTTCTTTTAGACCTCAGACAACTTACAACAACAAACGGCGCAGCGACCTCTTCAACAGAAATCTCGCAAAAAGAGAAACACAACAACAGTAAGCAAATAACATCAAAAATCACAATTGCAAAGTAAGTACATCATACCAATACTTACACATACACATCCATCGTTACGGTACATAGCAGAAAAAAAATTGTTAAACTCAGTATTTGTTTCAAATTAAGGGTTGCCATCCCTAAGAATTTATAAAACATTCGGGTGAAACTATTAGCTGAATACTTGATGACCTTTTTTACGATAGTTTGTTGACATATTCCAAACAATCAGTGTAGCCTAAAAATTTACCTTTTTTGGGGATTTCAAATATTTGCAAACACATCTGATTTTGGATTTTTTCATACATTTTCCTTGCTTTGAACGAAATTGCACTCAAGGAAACTTGGGATATTTTGGACATTCTTCAAATTTGGACGAAATATTAAACTCCGACGTTAACATTTTTTCCCGTTACATCGTTTTTTGGACTTCGCTGACATAATTTGCTGGATTTTCGACATTTCTTGGAGTTCGTTTTGACTTTTTGAACCTTTATTGAAAGTAATTGGGCAACTATATACATTATTTTCAACATGGATGTCACAAAGAAGTTCACCAATGCCTATAATGATTTGGTAGACTTCCACGAATTGCAAGCCAGCAGCACAGCCGAGGATAATGTGCACTCCTTGGAAGCTCTTCGGATACACCTGGACCATATCTGGAGCCACGTCAAGCGATGTTATGAAGAATGTAGGGATTATGAACCCAAAGAGAGTGATCCTCCCATCGAACTTAAAAAGCTACGCGCAACTTACAGAAATGCCATTACTACCTATAAAGCTACCCTAGGAACAATAAATGCAGAAATTGACGTCCTTACGAACAAGGCCTCGAAGACATTGGAAAAAACCATACTGGAAAATCCCGTTCATTACTCCATAAAGCTTCCTCCATGCGACACTGATATATTCTATGGCAGCTACAAAACATGGCCGACCTTCCGAGACCTTTTTTCCGCCATTTACGTTAAAAATCCGAAAATTAGTAAGGTCGAAAAACTATATCACCTCAATCAGAAAACAGGAGGTGAAGCACGAGACATCATAGCGAACATTCCGCTTACGCATGATGGCTTTGATCTCGCTTGGAAAAACCTGACTGATAGGTACGAAAACAAACGCATGCAAGTGAATGAGCAATTGAAAACCTTGTTCAACTTACCTTCGGTAATCTTAGACTCAAGCTCATCACTAAAGACATTGCAACGATCAGTTACGGGTTGCCTTGAAACATTAAAAACTTTAGACATTGATGTTAAATCCTGGGACCCTATTCTTATTTATTTATGCTCTCAAAAAATGCCTAGAACTTACCTGCAAGATTTTGAAAACATATTAGACTCAAGTTCAGACATTCCAACATGGAGTGAGTGCAACACCTTCCTCACACAAAAATTTAAAATACTCGAATCTGTTGGAAATATTCAATCAGTGCCTTCTAAACCTACTCAAACTTTCAAGGAAAGTCAACGTTCTCAGAACGACAAAAAAAATTCACTCTTTTCACACTGGCATTGAGCCCAAATCAGAGAATACTATGAAAAATAAACAACACAGACCTAAAAAAACGGTAGAGCATAAATGCCAACATTGCAAAGAACATCATTTGTTAAGAAATTGTCCCAAGTTCCTACAAAAGAATACAAATGACCGTATTCACCTTGTCAAAGTAACAAACACTTGTTATAATTGCCTCTTAACCGATCATGGAGTTAACGAGTGCAAAAGCAAATTCAATTGTCGAATTTGCAATCTCCGACATCATACGCTTTTGCATAAGGGAAGCGGAACACAAACTATTCCTGAATCCCAGCTTGATGTACGACCTAGTACAAGTACACAAGCACTTACCTTAAACATACAGTCCACACCTTGTATCAAACCAAATCAACTCACCTCACTTGCTCTTCCCGATGAGAATAAACCTTATTCAAAACTCGAAGAGACTTTGCTTTTCACAGCCCTAGTGGAAGTTGAATCGAACGGTCAGAGGTTTGAAGCCCGCGCAATCATAGATTCCGGCTCTCAATCGACCTTCATCTCAGATAAGCTGAAAAATCGACTTCGACTTCCAACCAAACGCAACCTAGTACACGTTTCAGGACTTAATCCAGCAATGACGGAAACATCAACACAAGCTTGCGTTTTCACTCTTCGTTCGCGAGTTAATCCTGACTTCAAATTAGACGTTTGGGCTCCTGTTTTAAAAACTTTATCGTTCAATTTGCCACCACGAAATATGGATATTGACAATTATGATGAATTAGAACGCCCACTTGCTGATCCACTTTTCTACAAGAGCAGACCAATTGACATCCTCATTGGTCTCGACATTTGTTCAAATATTTTTGACCTGGCGATTCCGATGCGTTCACAAGGTTCCTTATTGACTCAAAAAACAGTTTTTGGGTGGATTGTGGGTGGACCTGTAGAGCGATCGACCCAGTCACCTAGACATATCTCTCTGGTCAACGCTGTGGCGTTAGACAACCTACTAACACAATTTTGGGAGGTGGAGGAGCCGCCAAGTGAAACTTTGCGATCCCACGAGGACATCTTTTGTGAAGACTTGTACAAGTCCACAACTGAAAGAACGGTTTCTGGAAGATACATGGTTGAGCTTCCTTTCAAAACTGCTGAGGAAATCGGAAATTCACGGAACATCGCAATGGCTCAGTTTCTTCGTATGGAAAAAATGCTCTGCGGAAAACCAGAAATCAAAGACCTTTATGATAAAACAATCATGGAGTATTTGGACTTAGGCCACATGAAAAAGGTTTTAAAGCCGGACATTAATAATGGACCTAATTTTTATCTACCTCACCATGCAGTAATAAAACCGGATCGGGTAACTACCAAACTTAGAGTAGTATTTAATGCGTCATCCCCCTCGGATAATAAAAAGAGTTTGAATGACATCCTGTATCCTGGACCAATCCTGCAACAAGACCTTATAATACAAACTTTAAAATGGAGGTTTTATAAGTTCGTATACAACGCCGACATTACCAAAATGTACAGGCAAATTTTAGTCAACCCTTCACAAACAAAATATCAGCGAATCCTCTTTCGCACTTCGCCTAAATATCCTATTGAGGACTTTGAACTTTTGACTGTGACATTCGGAGTTAATTGTGCCCCCTTTCTAGCAATACGGACCTTGCTCCAGCTAGCCGAGGACATTAAGGAGACACATCCGTTAGCCTCACATATATTACGGAACAATATGTACGTGGATGATGTCTTGGCAGGAGGACACACAATTGAAGAAGCGGTGGTTTCTAAAAACCAACTCTCCAGTGCATTAGCCTCTGCAGGGTTTGATCTCCGAAAGTGGAGTTCCAATCATCCCACCATAATTAATGACTTACCACCAGAAAGCCTACTATCAGACAATTGTCTTCATCTCTCTGAAAACCTAGTTACGAAGACACTTGGTATTAAGTGGAACATTAGTCGTGATTCGTTTTCATTCCCGCAACCCGACATCACACCTAAGTCGTCCTTCACTAAGAGAGAGGTTTTATCAATAATAGCTAGATTTTTCGATCCTTGCGGTTGGTTAGCGCCTATCATTGTAGTTGCCAAGCTCATAATGCAGCAGATTTGGCTAGACAAGGTAGGATGGGATGAAGGACTTAGACCTTTGACGTCATCTGCATGGGAAAACTTTATCAGCGGTTGCCCATACATCCAACATCAAAATGTGCCAAGATGGATACAATATACTCCGACCTGCAAGATTGAGATACATGGATTCTGCGATTCTTCTGAAAAGGCATACGCCGCGACTTTATATGTTCGACTTGAAGATAATAATGACGTACACACACATCTTCTGGTTGCGAAAACACGTGTTGCACCGGTCAAGAAAATCTCTCTGCCTCGGCTGGAACTATGTGGAGCTGTTTTACTAGCAAAACTAACGTCATCAGTTATACCGAGCCTCAACCTGGAAAAGCATGACATCTACTTTTGGACCGACTCAACAATCGTCCTAGCCTGGCTTAAAAAACCACCATGCGCATGGAACACCTTTGTTGGCAATCGAGTGTCTCACATCGTGGATAAAGTAGGAACATCAAGTTGGTGTCACGTAAATTCATCAGACAATCCAGCGGACATTGCAACACGAGGATGCTCTTCTATCGACTTACAAAATAATGACTTATGGTGGCATGGACCTACTTGGCTCCGAGAGCCAACCAATTGCTGGCCACGATCGACACAAATTATAGATACTCTGTTGGAAAAGAAGCAAATCAAAACACTAGTGACTCCTTCAACTACAAATCTAAGAGAAACCGACCCTTTGAGAAACTTTTCAAGTCTATCAAAAGCGTATCGTTCCTTTGCATATGTTGCCAGAATCATACGATTAGCACATGGAATCAAACCACCAATCAATACACCTCCTGATGATGTTCTGCCCGAAGAAGTTAAGATTGGGAAATACAAAATGATTTTGCTGACTCAGTCCCACTATTTTACTGAAGAATACCGTCTATTATCACAAAATCGAAAATTGCCTCACAACAGTCCACTTTTATCGTTAAATCCATTTATTGACGCCAACGGAATCATGCGAGCAAACGGACGTCTTTCTGACTCTCCTATGTTAACTCATAACGAAAGACATCCAATTCTGCTGCCACACTATTCGAATCTTTCATACCTTCTAGTTGAACATACTCATAAATATACATTACATGGGGGAAACCAGCTTATGATACGGACTCTGCGATCAGAATTCTGGATCTTTCGACTTAAACCTCTGGTGAAAATGGTGATAAACCGCTGTAAGCCCTGCGTGCTATACAAACGACATACTCAAAACCAAATCATGTCATCTCTGCCTCCAGAACGAACGCAATTCACAAGACCTTTCTTAAATACTGGAGTAGACTTTGCTGGACCTTTTAGTATTCGAAACTTCACAGGCCGAGCATGCTTAGTAACGAAGGGGTACGTGTGCATATTTGTATGCTTTTCTACCAAAGCAATACATTTGGAGGCCACCAGTGACCTCTCAGCACAAGCTTTCTTAGCGGCCTTTTCACGTTTTATCGGAAGACGAGGTTGTCCGGCAAAAATGTTTTCCGACAACGGAACTAACTTTACTAGTGCTGCAGAAATGATCAGAAAGGACAGACTATTATTTTTCAGACATATACAAAACGATCTCGTGCACCAATATGCCCATCAGAACCTGGAATGGAACTTTATACCACCAGGTGCTCCTCACATGGGGGGATTGTGGGAAGCAGGTGTAAAATCATTCAAGACACATCTAAGAAAAATGGTTCCCAATATGACATTCACTTTCGAAGAGTTATCTACTATCTTGGCCAGAATAGAATCTTGTTTAAACTCTAGACCTCTTTGTACTGCAAGTGATGATCCAAATGACCTTTCACCGCTTACTCCAGGGCACTTCCTGATTGGATCGCCATTGTTGTCTTTACCTGAACCCGACATTACTGAGGAAAATTTATCTCTCGCTAATCGATGGAAGCGAGTAAAAATCATTTCCCAGATATTATGTCTAAGATGGAAGACAGAATACCTGAAAGAACTACACCGTCGCCATAAATGGAAGTGGCAAAAGGACAATGTACGACTAAATGACCTTGTAATTATTCAAGATGACCGTATACCTAGGAATGAGTGGAAGTTAGGAAGAATTACTAATCTGTATCCAGGGTCAGACCAAAATGTCAGGGTTGTTGATCTCCAAACAGCAAACGGTGTCGTTCGCCGACCTATAACGAAGCTAATTCCCTTTCTCTCCGACTAACCTTCCAAAATTCCACTTTATTTCAAACTAAAATTTCCGTATAACTAATTCTCGCTTTTTACAGACATGGCTCCAAAAAACTCCAAAAACATAAACCCAACCATTAGACCAAGAGGCTGGATTTATTCGTGTGGGTTGTGCAAGCTGGATCATCCTATTAAGACTTGCAAAAAGTTTTTGTGTCTTGAGCCCGATGCTCGTTTTGACGTAGTATGTGAGTATTTTTACTGCATCAATTGCCTAGCTTGCTCCCACACTAAGTCAAACTGTCCGACAACTTTATCATGTCAAATTTGTGGAGGGAAACACAATACCCTATTGCACTACGCAACCCCAATCAAAGCAATGAGCACCACACGCCAAAGTCGTCATGAACAGCGCCAACATCCAGCCACCAGACCTTCGTCGTCAACCAGATCAAAATCACAAGCGCCTATTCGTTCGACATCATCGGTTCGACAGACACAACGTTCGCCGCAAAATAAACAGCCCTCAACATCAAAGGCAGCCCAACATCACATGTTTGACAAAAACCGTTTCAAACTGGTTCAACAGCCTCCAAAAAACATCCCCTTTGGTTGGTCGAAGGTGTTTGTTCCAACGGTGCAAATAAAAATTTCAATACCAGAACAACCAGGCATGTGGCACCTCTGCCGCGGCATTGTTAATTCCCAGGCGACAGTGTCTCGCATAGCGGTACGTCTACAGTCGGAGCTTCGCCTCGAAACCTTTGAATACCGCAACACCAGATTTGCAAAGGTGCTTATTGCAGCCCGACTAAGTCGTTTCAACTGGAAAAGAGAAATACGGGCAATGTTGACGAACGACCTTCCACGAAAACCCTATGACCTCCCCATTGATGCCAATCCATCATCAGACTTCCCAGAAGACACGCTTGCAGACCCCGATCCTCGATGCAACGCTACTGTGGAACTAGAAATTGGTGCTGATTTCTACAAAGATATCCATCGTAATGGGTCTCTTGATACCGAAATACCTGGAGTCATTGCCGAACAGACAGCATTGGGATATGTTTTTATTGGAGCCATCGGCAAAATTTGGTAACACTCCACGGAGGGGCCGATATGTTCAATAATGAGGAATATTGAACCTTGAAAATACTACTAACATTAATTAAAACGTGAATTAAATTAACATTTATATTTTTACTTTAACACTGAAATTTGTAATGGAATAGCCCATAATCAGAACTAACAATAATAACTTTGAGTTTTATTTCCTAACGGTCTCTATGACTTCCCACACTTTTTTTGCTTCAGTCTCTTTTAACACTCACTCAATGAGAACCAATTCAGCACATTCCGCAAACTCATTGACATTGCAGCAACATATCTTGCGTTGTTGTTGTTATGCTTTTGCAATCTCTTCTTTGCCCTTCAACAATAAATGGTAGAGAAAGATTTAACAGTCTATTTTTTGACCTTGTGAAGAGTGTGCGGAAGATCATAGAGATCAACTTAAACTATTTTGTATTAAAACAAAAAGAACAAAATAAAAACTGAAAACAACAAAACCGAATTTTATTCAAACAAAAGTGAAAAACAAGGCAAAGTTAATAAACAAAAAAAGGGTAAAATTCTACAAGCTAAACAAAAGGAAAAAATATTCTTTACAAAGATCCACGCCTTATTGGGCCCTTGAAAAATATTCTTTAATAAATCCACGCCTTGTATCGTCGTTGAAAAAATATTCTTTAAAAAATCCACGCCTCCTTATTGGGTCCTTAAAAAAATATTCTTTAAAAAGTTCCACGCCTTTTTGGGCCCTTGAAAACATATTCTTTAAAAAATTCAGGCCTTATTGGGTCCTTGGACAAATATCCTTTAAAAAATCCACGCCTTGTATGGATGGACCCTTGAAAAAATATTCTTTAAAAAGATACACGCCTTATTGGACCCTTGAAAAAATATTCTTTAAAAAATCCACGCCTTATTGGGTCCTTGAACAAATATCCTTTAAAAAATCCACGCCTTATTGGGTCCTTGAACAAATATCCTTTAAAAAATCCACGCCTTATTAGGCACTTGAAAAAATATTCCTTAACGAATCCACGCCTTATTGGGCCCTTCAAAAATATTCTTTAAATTATTCACTTTAATAAAATTTAAGTCTCCATTAATAATTTTGTGGTTCTTCTTCTTCTCCTCTTCCTGATGATTTTCACAAATCAGCTTTTCTCATTTATGTATCAGCTTGTCGTTGTGTGGCCAGCAGCTTTGACTGAAAAACGCATTTAAAATATTTTCAGTTGAAAATAGTGTTCATAAATAGCAAACATGTTTAATTCTGGTTGCCATGTAAATGAATTGGTCTTGGCAACATTGCGGAGGAGGATGGATGGATGGCTGCCTCTTGGAATATATTTTCCAGCTAAAATGCCGATTCCGATATAATGCGGTTGGACACATTTAAATGCGTTGGTGTTGCTCGTTGCACTCCCACTTCATTTAGTGTGAAAATGGATTTAAGCGAATTGCTACACAAGGAGGATATTTCATATTCTGTTGCTTTGCAACTGCTATTCGGTTAGTTGAACTTTTTATTAAGAGATTAAATTCCAGGGAATTTGCTGAAAGTGCAATCTGAATAAGTTACTAGAAATGTTTAATTCGAATGGGAGATTTTAAAAAATATTTCCGAGATTTTTTAAGGAATAGTTGTGAAAGAAACTATAAGACGTGGATTTTTAAAAAAATGTTTTTTGAGGCATGGATTTTTTAAAGAATATTTTTTGATGTTCCTATAAGGCGTGGATTTTTTAAAAAATTCTTTTTGAGGTACCTATAAGGCGTGGATTTTTTAAAGAATATTTTTGAGGTACCTATAAGGCGTGGATTTTTTAAAGAATATTTTTGAGGTACCTATAAGGCGTGGATTTTTTAAAGAATGTTTTTTTCTAAGACCATACAAGGCGTGGATTTGTTAAAGAATGTTTTTTCTAAGACCATACAAGGCGTGGATTTTTTAAAGAATGTTTTTTTCTAAGACCATACAAGGCGTGGATTTGTTAAAGAATGTTTTTTCTAAGACCATGCAAGGCGTGGATTTTTTAAAGAATGTCTTTTTGAGGTACCTATAAGGCTTGGATTTATTAAAGAATATTTTTTCAACGAGCATACAAGGCGTGGATTTATTAAAGAATATTTTTTTCAACGACCATACAAGGCGTGGATTTATTAAAGAATATTTTTGCAACGACCATACATGGCGTGGATTTATTAAAGAATATTTTTTTCAAGGACCATACAAGGCGTGGATTTATTAAAGAATATTTTTTCAACGACCATACAAATGCGTGGATTTATTAAAGAATATTTTTTTCAAGGACCATACAAGGCGTGGATTTATTAAAGAATATTTTTTTCAAGGACCATACAAGGCGTGGATTTATTAAAGAATATTTTTTTCAAGGACCATACAAGGCGTGGATTTATTAAAGAATATTTTTTTCAAGGACCATACAAGGCGTGGATTTATTAAAGAATATTTTTTCAAGGACCATACAAGGCGTGGATTTATTAAAGAATATTTTTTCAAGGACCATACAAGGCGTGGATTTATTAAAGAATATTTTTTCAAGGACCATACAAGGCGTGGATTTATTAAAGAATATTTTTTTCAAGGACCATACAAGGCGTGGATATATTAAAGAATATTTTTTTCAAGGACCATACAAGGCGTGGATTTATTAAAGAATATTTTTTTCAACGAGTGGCATGTAGAGACAATATTCCCTTGTATTACTTTGTGAAGTATATAAATCCCCGATGTCCTTTTCAATTCGACCGTGCATTGATTGCACACACACCGTTTGTTTTAGATGTTACTTGAAACTATTTGAAAATTGCATGAAATTTTAAATAAATGGTCTCTCCATTACAAGATTGCCAATAGTGGCCGCCTGCCCCCAAATTCAAACAAACTGCTGGATATTCAATTTTTACATGTAGTGATATTGTATATGATTCAGGCCACAGTTATGAACCAATCTTCACGAAATTTTGCATGTAGGATGGGTACTGGCAAATGAAGACCCCTATTGTTTTTGGTAAAGATCGGTTAATATTTAGGGGATTTTTGTCCGTTTTTTCTGGTCGCTCCAGAGGCCGCAATTATGGCCCGTACGAATTTTACATGGAGAAGGCGATCGAGCCAATGAATAAGCATGCATGGTTTGATAGGGATTGGTCAATATTTAGCGGCCAAATAGACCCTGACTTTTGTGTGAAAAATTACAAAATTTGTATTCTATGGCGTATATATTTGCCCATGAAGGACCTAGACCCGAGAAGTTGATAGTATGTTCAAGAGGAGGTTGACCTTTAAATTAATACCAATTATATCGTCGTATGTACTCGTATGTAGGAGTTACACCTAAATAGTAACGGGTGCTTACATGTTTAGATATCATTTATTAACCCATTACCACACTAGAGGGCGGAAATATAGCGCTGCTCGTTTTGAAATTTTCCATGAGATCCCAGTTATGCTCAAGGACAACGCCTATAATTTTCGGTGATGATCAGATAATAATTTTGGGATGAAGTGGACCGAAAACTTAATTTGTTTGTGGTTTTTTTTCGAGTCGATCTATAGGCCACAATTGAAAGCCCAACATCACAACATAACCCACGGTAAAGAGAATCTAGACAAGTACAACCCTCGCCTATTGAGTATTAGAAATATTTGTTGACATCAAGTCTGTCAAGTGAGTGCAAATATCGCTCAGAATATACAACCACATATAGTTAGATTTTCGTGGAAGTTGTGTAGGGTGTCATATGGTCGGCTCCGTCCGACTATACTGATCCGCTCACTGGTTTTTCATACCCTTCACCACATTGTGGTACAGGGTATTATGTCTGTGTGCATATGTTTGTAACAGGCAAAAGGAAACGAGATAGACACTTTGAGAATAAGCATAGAGTCACTGTCTGTCTGTCTGTCTGTCAATGTTAAATTGTAAACAAAGTGCAGGTCGCATTTATGACCCGAATTGGATGAAATTTGGCATAGGCCACTTATTTGGCCCAAGGACGAACCCTATTGAAATTCGGAAAAATCGGTTAAATTTAGATATAGCTCCCATAAAGGTAAATGGTGCTCCAAAGTCCCTATATATCTTTTTGCATAGTGTACTGAATTGAATCTAGAATGACGGGAGTCAAGTTTTGAGAAAATCGGGTCAGATTTATATATAGCTCCCATATATATTTTCGTTCGATTTAAGTTAAATCGGACACCAAAGTTCCTATATATCTTTCGATTTGCACGAAATGTGGCATAGTGTACTGAATTAGGTCCAGAATGATGTGTGCTAATTTTCGTGAAAATCGGTTAAGATTTAGATATAGCTCCCATATATATTCGTCCGATTTAATGTAAATGGTGCACTAAAGTCCCTATATATCTTTCTATTTTCACGAAATTTGGCATAGGGTACTGAATTAGGTCCAGTATGATGTGTGTTAAGTTTCGTGAAAATCGGTTCAAATTTAGATATAGCTCCTATAACCTACCGCGTGGAAAGTTTATATACATATTATAAGAAGCAACCCTATATCTGACCAAATGAAAAATTTAGTATAGGTTGCACAACGATATGTCTTTGGATCCATTTCCATGTTAATGGTCCTTCAAAACTTCAACGTCTGTTAGGATTCATCTGTTGAATATACCCAAAGTGGTGAAGGGTATCATATAGTCGGCCCGCCCCACATTACTACTTTTCTTACTGTTTTTTTTAATGTTGCCTATATTTGCTCAGTTTTTGTTTTCTATTTACGCTTTGTTATTCTATTTTTCCATTGGCTTAGAATATCCCAATATCCCACCCTGATCCATAAATACTAAATAACCTATAATACACACAATTAATAGTTTCCCCTAATCGCCCAGCCAAAACTATTCCGGAAATATCCACTATTTAATGTGGATAATTCTCACGCAAACCTCCGAATCGAAATTCGGCAATGAAATAAATTTTCATAGAAAACAATCCGCAAGGGCTGGTGTTAAATTCTTTACGCTGTCACTTTGCCATTTGTTTATGGTCCTTTTGTTTCATAAAAAAATCTTCATTTTGTTCTCCTTTTTGTTATAATAATGTAAATAAATTATGCAAATAATTTATGCTTTCAAAGAGGCGAAGAAGAAAATAATACGCCATTTACATGGCACAACAAGGCATAAGGTAAT